GGGGGGGTTCTTGAAGCCCAAAAACAATCCTCTGGATCCGCCACTGCTCACAGATGATACATGCTTAATAGTGTAGAATTTATAATATAAAAGAGGGACACGATAATATCTAGGTCATACTGAATTTGGATTCTAAGACATTATCACAGCCGCAACTGAATGGTGATCCATCCGAACTATGGTACAGATTGGTTACAAATATGCAAGTCGACGGCAATTAAATTTTAAATATAGAATATGCATGTTTTGTGTCTAGTTTAGTGTATTCCTAGTAACATAGAAACTGTCGTAGTTACTATGATTTTCTTGCAATAACTTTATATAAATAAAACAGTTTTCAACGGCATATAAAAGTCCTTCCGAAAATATTTATCTAAAAAATATATCTTTCCAAGACCCTTTGAAGTTTGTTTTCATGTACCATCCACAAAATAATAGGCAGTAAAAGTTCGTTTCTTCTTCTACCGGATATCAACTGGTCCCTGAAGCCGTATCAGATGACTTTTTTTCATAAAAAAATGACGGCCTAAATATTGAAACGGACCTTAGAACGGACACTCTTTTAATTGGAACTCTTTTATATTGGAGGCTCGAAATGTTAGTATCTAAGTAATCATGGCGTCTGTTTGGGACAAGTTTGACAATTTTGAGCGAAACGGAACGTAAATATAACTGCTCCTGGTAATAGTTCAGCTAGAATACGCACAAGAAACGATGGAGATCTCACCATTTAGTATCACTGCAAAATGTTGAGACGCTTCATCATGGCAGCAGTCGGAAAAGGTATTGTACAATTTTGACAGCTGTTTTCAGTATTACTGTTTACCTTTGACCTCATACCTATGTCACTGCCAGCTGAGTGATACATCTAGTAGCTGATCGTTAAAACAAAATCAATTCATTTGAAAATTAAATTTAATAAACGTAACAAGCGGTTTTCTCTGCTTGTCATACGCAAATCAACTATAAGCCACTCAAAAGACACATGCTTAGATGTCAACAGGTCCAGTACACTGCCGATTGAGCTATATTATAGTAATAGCTCGATCTATTGACCTATCTGAAATAGGTCTTTTGAGCTATTTTCAAGTGATTTTCTTTTTTAAGGAAAACGAAACAAAGTCGCTCTTAAAAGAAGATTGTATCATTAGGTTGATAACAAAAGACATTAAATATAAATATTCTTTTTAAAAAATAATGATGTAAAAAAATCGGAAATTTTACATTTATGAAAAATGAAAATAAAAATCTAACTGTATGCTTTTTGTAGTCAACATTGCCATAAACCTTATTGTTGTATGCGACTTGAAAATTGAAATATGAGAATATATAGCTCAATACAGTTATAATGTATAGGTGTATATAGCTATATAGCTCAATCGGCAGAGTGTACTGGACCTGGTCAATGTTTGAACAATTGAATACAATGGATAAATGAAGCCATTGAAGGCATCTGCTTTGAAGATAGACATTTTATGAGAGCTCCTTCATTTTTTGAAGTTCCGTGTGTACAACAAGGTGGTCAGAGGCACAGTCAGGTAAAGGGTGACACCTATGCCCAAACAGTCAATAAATATGTGGTGGAACTGGACTGGGTCGATTGTCTACGACCCAGGCTGTAGCTCGGTAGGTTAGAGCGCTAGTGTCTGCTTAGACGGAGGGTTTCGGGTTAAAACCACAGTGTGGCCATGTATTTTTTCTGCCTTTACAGTGGTGCCAGTGACCGATACTTGTTTCAAGCATTTGGTGTACGTTTGGCAAAGGGATACCTGAACATTGGTTGTAAATAGTTGTGTTCGGGGGCGAAGAAAAAGGAGGGATGAATGTAGTGGAACTGGACTTGGTCGATTGTTGGCGACCAAGTAGCTCAATTGGTTAGAGCTCCCGTCTAGAGTTCGGAGGATCCCAGGTTTGCACCCTGGTCTGGCCGTGCAGATATCGCCAGATGCGATCACTTCGTCCATATATACATAGTCCTACCCATTGTTGTGAGGTACAGTGGCAGACTGTCCTGGGTACCTTATGACGACTTTAGCACTTAGATTCAGATGTTTCTTCATATTCTTTGTGTTATGATGTTAAAGTAGTGCAGCTTCAGCAGACTTAACTTGTAGTGTTATAAAACCTGAAAGACTTCAGGTTCATCCTTTCTTCACATGGTGTACACAGTTTAAATTTACCCTTGATGCTTTGCTAAAACCATTTATATGACAAAATGTTGGCTTTTTGAATGAACAGTTTATTTATGAGACAGTCAACTTTTATCCCGTGATATATCATATAGATCGGGCCATAGATCCATTGTTGTCTGATACGTAATAGTGTAGATTGTGAGGCTCTTTTAAAAACAGAAGTTTTGAAATCCAATTGTCTAACTTGTGAACAATAGTAAACTATCCAATAACTGTGCTACCAATCATATGGGTCATTCCTTAGTTACTGAAAAAAGATCTGGTCATCTAAAAAAAATGTAAACAGTTCAGCTTCGTATTTCATGCTTTATTCCAGAAACTAGACCATGAATTTCAAAACAGTTTTTATGCAAATAAACCTCACAATATACAATGTTTATATAGATATTGTCTGGGAATAGTGCATGTCTTCCTAGATTTGACAGTTATGTAAACGATCATGATATTTCTCTAAAAATGTTAATACAGAAGCAACAAAAACAACCTTAGTAAATCCTTAATTACCAGTAAGTGGATGAAGTCTCACAACCACTTTCTGAATCAGTCACATCATCATCAACTTTTTCTTTTGAACGACTTTTTCTGAAGAACTGACTACATTGACTAGTAGGTAGATGGGATGAAGTTCTATAAATTAAAGTTTCCTCATTATAATGAACTTGACCTACTTTCAAGGTCACAAGTCAAATATGTTAAAAAATTCAAACAACAATATTTAAAGGACCATAAGGACTAGAATCACGATACTTGGATATGTTATGTAGACCATCAGTGCGAATCATTTCCTTGATTATTGTAATGAGGTCAAAGTTCAACTTTGAATTGCTAGCCGGTGTCAAAGGTCAATGCAGGTAAAACCCTTTAAGGCCCAGAGTCATGGTATTTGGACAGTAGGTAGATGGGATGAAGTGCTATTAAGTTTCCTCATCAAAATGACCTTGACCTAGTTTCAAGGTCACATGGGTCAAATATGTTAAAAACTTCAAACAACAATATCCCAAGTACCATTTGGACTATAGAGTCATAATACTTGTGTGTGTTATGAAGACCGGCTATGTGAATATTTTTCTTTATTATAGTAATGTAGTCAAAGGTCAGCTTTCAGTGCTAGTCAGGGGTCAAAGGTCAACATGAGTTAAAAGCATTAACAATCTTCTTCTCAAGTTCAATAAGGTCCAGGGTCATGATATTTGGCTAGTAGGTACCTGGGATGGAGTGCTATAACCTTTCCTCATTAAAATGGCCTTGATCTAGTTTCAAGGTCAACATGGGTTAAAAGGTTCAATAATCTTCTTCTCAAGTTCCATAACCCCCAAAGTCATGGTATTTTGCCAGTACCTTTTGGTAGGTACCTGGGATGGAGTGTTAAAAAGTTTCCTCATTAAAATGACTTTGACCTACTTTCAAGTTCACAAGGGTCAAGCATATGTTAAAATCTTCAAACAACAATATCTTAACTCATTCCCCCCTGAAATTTCATAATGAACTATTCCAGCCTATGAAATGGAAGAGTTCAAATGTGTCTTCAGGGGTGATCATGAATGAGTTAAGAACCATTGGTTTAGAGTCATGATACATGAGTATGTTATGTAGACCAGCTGTGAGCTGGAGTCAAAAGTCAATGTGGGTTAATTTTTAAGAACCTTTTAAGAGATATTAAAATATCTTGTGTTCTAGTTACCAAATTTGGTCTGAAGTTACCTATATGTCAGTTTCATTTAACAAAAGAAACAGGTGAGCGATACAGGCCCTTTGGGCCTCTTGTTATATCTTCAAAGAGCAATACTGTACAAATTGCATTTGCTTCAAGTTGAATAACATATATTATGGTCACACAGTATTAATAATAATTATTATCTGGATGTACTCAAAAAGCTGATTAATACAATATATATGTAAACAATGTTAAGTTCAATAGCAACAAAATATGTCTTAATCATTAAACAATTATATTAAAATGTAAAATGCATTAATGTTTATGTACAATTGTAAGTAATTTGTGTTTCACATTTAAAGTACTTTCCTGCAGGCAAATTTAAAGAAAGGTTACTAGCTTGACCTTTATGTTCGTAGTAAATATTGACAATTTTTCAATTGCCCTGAATATGACATAAAATGTACTTGGCCTGGGTGTCGGGCTAGTGAAATTCTACACCCCTGTAACAAGGCATTTTTTTCTCTATAATTTGAACTTTCTCAAAGAAGTTCAACATAGTTTGGGTCTATAAGTTGTGCATTTTGTAAATGCTTTAAACAAAAATGTTATCCATATCAAAGAAATCATGTTAACATATAACAAAGGCAACAACAACATGGCGGCGTTGGGTTAGAAGCGTATGAAGGAGCTCCGGTAATTTATCCTGAGAATGCCTCTCTAGTAACCCCGGAAAGTCCCCAATATTGGACTGTGTGACGGTGAGATCATTTCTAACATAATGATAACATTATTTTGAAAAAATATTTTGAAATATCCCCTTTGCGGACCATAATAGCATTCATTACCTGTATACCTGAGGTACACACATGTACCTGAACGATACCTGTGTTGCACGTGCAGACTACTATACTCACCTATGTGACATGTATGTTAGTACTGGAGTTACACCCTGGAAAGCTGTGGTTTATTTATGAACGTTTATTCGTACATGTACATATACATGTTCATCTTTTTGTATAATACGGATTTTAATGTGCGTTTACTGTGTAAGAACGGTAAACTAACCAGTATGACCTTGAACTGTGTGCACGTGTAGCCCATGGGTAAGAAACGTAATAGATCTCATACGGACACGAGTACTGTAATGGCTATGGCACATAGAGATCTCTATGGTACCCCACATGGTAATGTGGCCGCCACGCAACCATGTTTCCAACCTGCCCCGCAGTACCCGCAGTACCCTATGCAAAGCTCGTGTATACCCCCCAGTTCTCCTGCGAATCCTCAGTTGATGTTCCCTCAGGCAACCTCGCCTACTCCTGACACCATTTCCCCACACTTCAGTGATCAAATTCTTCGAGACATATTTCAACGGTTAACTAAGCTGGATACACTGGATCAAATCATGTCTAGACTCAGTGTCATCGAGGGCAAGTTTAGCAGTATGGAGAGTTCGTTATCAGGCGTTAAACGTGAACTTAAAACACACAGTGAACAGCTCGAGGGTGCGGATTTCGACCATTCCATTCTTGAAGAGAGAGTCAGCAAAGTGGAACTTGAACGGGAGGAGGTACGGGAAGAAAATCGCCTACTGAAAGATCAAATACTCGAGATCCAAACACGATCGATGAAGGACAACCTGTTATTTGGAGGAATCCCAGATGTTGACCGTGATGAAGACACCGAGGCTGTTGT